TGCACACCACACACTTAGGTTCACATTCATGATCAAGGAGTGGGTTCGGAATGCCACACATTGGACATAAAGGCTGAGGGGTGCCTGGGCATACGTCTGGTCTGTGGCTAAGTTTGCGGCAGAGATTACAGGCTTCCGTCTTGTGACGATAGGGTACGCATCTGGTGGCATCACCAGATGCGTACCCTATCGTCATAAAGCTGGCATGGAATCTCCCCCGCTTCTGACCGTACGTAGCTTGACACCTCCGCCTGGCTGAACGCGTCGCTCTCCTTCACCTCTACGGTGGCGGTCGCCACCAACACCGCCATCATCGCCGATCATCGCCTGATCTCGCCTGTAAATAAACATGGTTAAACTCAATCTAACCGTAATATTATTGTCACCCGCCCCGCTGACGGTGAGCCCACGCCATGACAGAAGCGGTGTCACCGAATTGGCGGAACGGTGGCTGTCTGTCGGTCATAAAGGACGCGAGGACCCACGTCTCCAAGCGGCTTAGTGGTGACACCTTTTTCGATACAAGAACCGAGTCCAGATGCAAGAGTGGAAAGTGCGGTTGCGCTCCGCGTAGGCAATTGAAACCAGAGGCAGCCGTGGCATTGGTACCCGGGCCCAAAATACTGATAGCCTGTCAGCTCAGTGTTGCAGGCACGTACACGGGAGGTGCGTTCCCACGGCTCGTCGACACCAGACTTTGAATGTTCCGGAAGCCGGTGTGAAGGAAGTTGAGCGGCGACGAGAGGCGGTGATTATATTCGAGGAAGATCTGAGGAGGAAGGACTCCGTGTCTGGCACCTTCAACGGCATCCAACCGGTAGTCGAGGAGAGAGACATAACTGTGTTCTGTTTGGATTGTAAGAGTGTTTGAATGGGGGGTTAGGAGATGAAAAACCAGGGGTGCAGGGACAGGTGAAAGAGAAGAGAAACGAATAAACGTCTTTATCGGAAGGATGCCCGAGCGGTCCTTTCCTCAAGGTGCCAGCAGATAAAACATCTCGTCTTCAACTTCTTTGTAGGCAGCAAATGGCGCACAACCAGTGAACCGACTCGAAAACCAAAAAACGGAACATGACTTTACCCTTTCACGATAAAGTCTCCCCGAGGCCACAGGCGCATTGTCGACACTGTTGATTGAAGCAGCTTCTATAGGTACACACTGCCTTTTGAAAAGGTGTTGTAGCTGTTCAGGAAGCATTCAGCAAAAATTGCGCCCATGCAACACAATTACTGTGCACTTTTGTTTAACTCGTAGATGTCGTATTATTGACAACAACCATCCACATAGTTCAGCGAGACTGCCATGAAGGCCACCATGACGACGGCATTGGTGCATGTCACTCAAATTGAAGTGTGCATAACGCTGATAAAGCGGTAGCCATCCAGGCCAGTTGCCGTCTTCAGAAGCTGTCACGTTGTCGAATAGAGAGCTAACGCCAAGAGTGTCTTTGTCTTTAGCTCCCCCTTAAAGTTGGAAAATAAAGGGTACTCTTCTGTTTCATTCAAAGAGGCTACAAACACAACTGGGGTCCTTCTCGTACATGTTCGCGGATTACTTCTGATATTTTATCAGTGGCAATCTTTTCCACTTGTCCGTTTCAGATGCGAAGCAGCTTAGGGTTGAGCTCGATCCGGCGTGCGGCGTGACCACCCTTAGGCCGCGTTCACACTGAGCATTCCGGCCTCCGAAAGTGCTCCGAATCCGGTTCGGCGGCGGCGAGATCCGCCGAAAGGGCCCTCTCCGCACCGATCGCACACGGACCAATTTTTGCGGCGTCTGCCGCCGAATAGGTCACCGCGGACCAATAGGAGCGCTAGTCAAGCAATTTTGAAAAATGGCGGCCAAGCCCTACTCACTTGTTATGCCGCAGTGCACGTAACTGAATGTTGAAACCAACGGGAGTTTGACCTACTCTGGGCCTACTTCGCCTCCGTATTTCGTGAAAGAGGTGACCGAGCTTGCTATTGGCGTGACCGAGCTTGTTGCGGTCTTGCAAAGCAAAACGAACCCACCGACGCCGCTGGCGTCGGTGGTTTTTCTACTCTTCGTGCATTGCAAGGCAGCCACTTGCCAGCAAAGTTAGCAGTACTGTATTTTCTTGCCTCTTGCGTACGAGAATCGTCGAAGTATACACCACCGGATAGGGCAGTAGCGTTTGCGAGCCGCGACAACAACCGGGTGACAGCGCATCCATGCCACGTTCGCCCCGTAGTATATGGCATATTCGGCGGCGCGGGGCGCGTCCAGTGCGAACGACGCTGCGTTTCGGTGGCAGGGGAATTTCTGTCCCTGTAAAAAGCGGATATTTCAGTGTGAACTAGGCATTATGGCTCATGTAATCCGCTCACCTCTCTCTCCTCTCCTACACTCCCCCCTCTTTCGCCTCCCAATGCCGGCACAGGCACCGTCTGCTAGCGAGTTTCTTGATAAAAAAACTAACTGATTGCGCTTCATGAGCGGTCACTGGCCACATCGTAAATATAGGCACGGAATCTTGACCTCCGAGGTAATGCCGGTGGAAGGTTTCTCCTGTGCGCTGTTGAACAATATAAATTCGCAGCGTGGGCGTTAGTTAAAAGCAGACAACTGGTTTCTGTGTCCGTTCGGAACTTTATGTCTCTCATTCCCATTAACAGCGATTGGCATGTTCCAGTAGGAAGCACCGGTCCATGACCGCGTGCGTTGCGCCTCCCCAGGTTTCTCTCCTGCGCAACACCGCGCTGAGTGTCAGCGTCAACGTCATTGTCAGTGTAATCGTTAACGCCCACTGCTTCGCATCTACACATGGTTACCTTTAGCGGGGCATGGTGTAATTGTTTTTTCTTGTGTGGCTTCATATTTTTGCACAAGGTTGAACTGTTCCTCTCTTGTAAGGAATGGCAACACTGCCATGATCCTTCGCTGATGTCCTTAGTAACGCAACTTCTTCGCGACCAATTCGAAAAACAATGGCTTCGTTGAACCCGCTTATATCAATGTCCTGCTTCAAAAACTTCTTTCCGGCGATACCACTAGTAATGGGCACCGAAACCTGTTTTTACCATTAAGAGAAATCCTCCTCACATAAACATCTCTTCGCAGGACGCAGATATGACTGCTCGCATAATGTCCACCTTCCTCCTCGATAGATGATGGTCCTCAGAGTCCACTGCATTTTTGTTTTAATGGGGTTTAAGCTCCATTATCCGACTCCCAAAGGACTTCACTGTTATTTGGCATTAATTTTCACAATCGGTCTAATCCAATCAGCAGACTTACTCAGGGTTTCGTGCTTGCGCTTGGGAAAACAACTGCATCCGCTAATGGTCTACCTTCAACAATGACGACTTCGTAAATATTATTCGTCTTTGAAGATTCAATAATGTCGCCGCAGTTGAAAAGAATGGCAACCGCTTCTATTGCACTAATTACGACAGTATTTACAAAAATAAAGAATTAACCTTTTAACCACTGGAAATAGCCAATCGAGTCAATTGGGCGAATTAAAGTTCTTCCTACAAATAGTCTACAGCCACTTTAATGTTTTTGAAAGGCGGCCACTGGTAATCACCATGAAGCAATGAAGTCTGGCAAGCTTAGTTTGTGAAACTGAAACCGGCACACCAAACAGCCCATTTATCATTCACTTCAAAAACACCCTCAATCATAAATTAACGGCTTTAAATTGTGTAAAAAAGTAACTGTTTATTTATTTACTGCCGTAAATAATGTTTGTGCACATCTGAAGATGCCTTCTGCCGAAATAAAGGGAACGCCGCAGGAAGCATGCGGATGCCTCCTTTCTGTCATTTCTTCAAAAGGACGGTATATGAGACCCGGGCCTAATACGGGTCTGCCTCAGGCCTGGGCCTGACCGGAGCCCAAAGCTCATGGGCCCGAGTCCGACCCGGGTCTGATTCGTGCCCGGCCCGGCCCATGCAATGCTCTAGTGTTATGTGCGTTGAAATAAGACAGCTTGCACCATGTCTGTTGTTTGACACTTTTAAAGAACACACAATTCAAAGAACATACATTTACGGTGACGCTTAGGTATACATCTGTATAGCGGCGACTAATCTCTATGATCCATGATTATGAAACCCTTGTGGACATAGATACTTTTGGTATACTGTAGTATTTAACGCTAAGAGCGGAAGCACAGGAAGTGGTGGGACTGCCAGAAGAGCGTCAGTGATTGTACGCCAAACTTGGGCTAAGGTATAGCCTATTCGCGGCATGTCAGAGTAATGAACGCCTCTTCTCTAAGAGAGACGAGTGTTGTGTCTTCCTCTGTGGCCAGCGGCGTTTTTTGGGGGGTGAAAGTAGGTTGGGAATGCGGAGTTACGGCGACGATAAGAAGTCGAGCGTAGCAGAGCTATTTTTGGTATAGAGAAATGCTATCTGCGAGGCCACCGCTGGGGGTAAGCTCGCCACGTGGCAGTGTGAACGGGTCAACAAAATTGCACTTTTTCTATTTGCAATGCACCGAACCGGAAACACGCGTAGAAACGACGCTTTCAGGAAGCTCATTGTGGATTTCGTGGTCACGACGAATTACTTCACTTAAGCAAGAGCATTGTGGGAGGACAGTGGTAGATTTAGAAGGTGCGTTTTTGAACCTCCCAGACTATGTGGCATTGGCGCGATGGGTAGCGTGCCCAGCATCTGTTGTCGCGGATCGAGAGTCCTTGGGTTCGATTCCCGCATCAGAACTGTAATTACTAAGTGTTTCTATTCTCTCGATGTCGTTTCCATGACGGAAGTACGTCACTGAAGCCTTGGTGAACCCCTGCATAAAACTCTTTCGTTTTAAAAATAAAGAAATTTTGGGTTGTAAAATTATTGGACTACTCGGGCCGAACAAATCTACTTCGAAAAGTTTCTAAACGTAGACGTAAGAAAACAAACAAAAACAAAACGCCATGAATATTTCTTGCCACCTGTGGCCATCGAAGTAAACAAAATGTCGGCTCATTCGATTCAATAACGTCCAGTTCCTGCTTGCTTTTTCGGACGACAGTCACAGGCAGCGAATGGCTTCGGCCGCCATCCCAGGATGCAGCTGTGGTCGTGGGCCGACTGGGCGGCCGCGTAGAGCTGGCCTGCGGAGCGGCTGAGCCTCGCGGGGAGGTGGGCGACGACGAGCCTTCGCTGCTGCTCTGGTTCCACGAGTCGAGGCCAGCGACGCCATTGTACAGCGTCGACGGGAGGCAGGCGGGCGGCCTGGCGGGCGCGCAGCACAGCATGGCGGATGTGTGGGCAGCGCGTGCCTACTTCAGCAGCGTGTCCCACTCTTTACGCCTGGAGCAGCTCTCGGCCGAGGACCAAGGTCGGTACCGGTGCCGCGTGGACTTCCGCAGAGGACGTACCAGATCGTCAACCATCGCGCTGGTCGTCAGAGGTATGTTCATCTGCTTTTCTAGCTTCTGCATGCACACCACAGAGTTCATGCGCGAAGATTTTCAATCGGACGCTCGCCCTTGGGTGGCCCCCTCTCTCTCTCTGGTAATAGCAGATTGGCCAAATGCTACCGTGCTCACGAGCAAATAATTATCAACAACGAAGGCCTAAAATGTGGCACAATTTTCACGACGTAACTCTATAGAAGTTGCACTTTAGTGAATTTTCTGTTGTTAAAAATTACATTTTACATAATAAAAAAGTTTCTCCCTAGTATGAAAGAGTTGCGAAAAATCACCTACTACTTTTTATAGCGTTAGTATGCGTAAATATAAATCAGAGCTCATGTTCACTTTATAACACTCTCTTTATTGCTTCTATTCGGTTGAATGCGTTGGCCAGTTTGTGATTCACGTTGCGTGTTGATTAGCCCAACGTATGTTTGACTTCAACAAACCACTACTCAAAGCCACCGACAAACATAGTATGGTGAACATGATGATCATTTAAATAACTATATTTGCGGGGAAAAGGCAATTAGGCCATCACACTCTCACCAGAAACAAAAAGAAAATGCCAGGAGCAACTGCAAAATTCTTCAAGCAACTCGTAGAAAAATATTGGGGGCCCTGCAGAGGTGTCCGCGATAGCAGTATCCTGTGTCTAGCACGTACAGAGTTCAACTGGTTTGTGTCAGTGAAGCTTTCACATAGGGCAGCATTCTGAGTACTGAATAGCATGCTTTTAACCACGGGAAATTGTGCGCGTTAAATCTTGTCGAACTTGCTATGCATTCATTACGTGGCCTTAAGGGAAAAGGCGCAGTAACTTTTGTGCCTTTTGTAGTGGGTGGCCCGTTTTAAACTAGGAAGTCATGATAATCACATGTTTTGACATCTGATCGCAATGCATGCAAGTAACACGCATTATTACTGTGATATTACAAGTTGCAATTGTGAACCATGTACCAAGACTGCGTGCGCTTGTAAAGCATGCAAGTTGCTTTCACTGAATTTCCAAGAAGAGGAAGTTATTTTCACTATTGTTCCAAGCAGACGCGTGCCTTTGTTGTCGAACACTGCTTGTCACCCAAACGACCCGGGTCTGATCCTCACTCAGACGCAGAATACTGTTTTTGCATCTTTCTCGACTTTTCAGTCACGCACAAGGTGATAATTTTTCGCTCACAACTATTGACGTCGACGCCAACCCCGAAATTTCTGTGAAAAAAGCTAACGTGTTAAAAAAGCATAGATTCGCCTATTTCAAGTTTAACTGGTAACAATGGTTGATACGTTTAGCATCAGACTTCAAAGCATTCGAGGCCGATCAGGCTTCGTCTTCAAGTGTGCGATGGGATAGCATGATTCAACCTTTAGCTTCGCTTTCTCATTCGCTCGCCCGCTCCACTTCTCGGTCGACACGTCAGCAATGCTGCGAGAAAGGAAGCGTCTGAGGTGCAATACTCGCCGTTTTAAACTCGCCAAGAATGTCTATATGCTACAAGCGCACTGTCGAAATACGCGCTATGCCATTATTAGTAAATATGCGTGCTAGCAAAGTACACCATGAGCGCGTAAGATACACACGCTTCTGCGTAGCGGCGCACTTTGTTGATGCTGCGGCGGATGCCGATGGATGGTAATGAATGATAGTTGAGCCCATTGTAATGGGTTAGCAGCTTTGAACCGCTCGCATATGGAAGCCTTTATAAAGCATTTTATGCATTGGTCAGTGTGCTGCGGGATCTTGACTGACACTACAAAAACAAAAATACAAACAAAGACAAAAATTGTAAAAAAAAACCCTAAACGGTCGACAACGTTTAAGAAACTATTTCAGGATAGCATGGCGTTTAAGAGGCTTCAATTCCGTTCAGACATCGCTTGGCTGCCGCAAATACGCGTGAACCCGTTACGCGAAGCATTTCTGAAAGATGAAGTGACGTCACGCGGGCTCTGTTTTTCGTGTAACAATTAAAAATCCACGACGACTGTTCTGTGCGATTCGTATGAACAATAAGTAATGGTACAGTTACGTACCATTACTAAATGTAGCTTCTAACCCAGTGTCTATCTAAGTTGCACGACCGGAAAATTGTCACGACTGATGCCGTGATGTCTTACACACCACAACCATGACTGCATATATGAGTTTATGTGTAGATGTCCAGCAGTTTTTATAAACCCTTCAGAGTAGTATATGTGCATGCTGGAAACGTTACAGAACTCTCATAAACAGATGACGTGGTGATAAACTACAAGGAATAGTTCATTTTTGAGGAATCAAGCTGATATGCGCTTTATACAAGGCAGTGTCAACATACTTAAGCCTAGTACCAAGAAATACAATACAAGAACATAACACTAACCATTTTGCATTCTGCTTTTTGCATGTTAGCGTTCGAAAATTCAATCTCCTTTTCCACCAACTTTGCCGCACAGCTTCAAGTTATTCGTATGATCAACCGACTCACCCAAACCTACAAGTTGTTGGGAAGCTCATGATCGAAGCGCTGCAAACTGGTTTGTATTTCTCATACATTCACACAAAACAGATTGCATATTGTTGCCCTAGCGAAAATGAAAAGATGACCTGAATTAAAGCGCTGACCTTTTCCTCAAAATATTTAGTCTGCTGCTCCCAGTACTCATCATTTTCTTTATATGCGTCGAGTGACACGCCAAGGTATTTCGCAACTGTGGTCTCCTATCTATAACATTAGCAAAACTGTGCAGTGTGCTGGTATACATCCCAGAAGCCATAGCTCTGGGGAAGTCAGAGGCTCGGCTATGCAGGCAGTTCCTAAATGCGTGAGAATAATGCCATCAAATCTTTTGCTAGAATGCCTGGATAGCCGAGGATTCTATCGGAATACTTGGCTACCTAGTGTTGTGCTTCACCCAAATTCAATGGAGTCTTCATCATTAGCATGGCGACGGATACTGAAAACCACGCAATACCACGTCAGCGGCTCTTTTTGTCACGAAGGTGTTGTAGGCCAAGCCTTTCTCACCAGCCAAAAGCAACATTCCAAAGCGGAATCTACACAGCACTTGAATATCAAATTCTGCATGGTCGTCAACTCGCTTCGCCAAAAACCCTGTAGACACACCCAACCGACAGGCTGCCCACAGAGGGCTACTTGAAGTCTAAGCTGTGGTCACCTCTGTGTTGCTTGAGTCGTCGTAGCACACCGAACAATGAACTGAGCGTCTGGGCTACGCCTACGGGGACGTTTTCCACGTTTCTTGGTGCATTCATGCCTTCGTGGCCTCCCTGCACCTTGCTACATCGACGATTCAACTCAGCGTGGATGTGGCAAGGATTCAACTCGGCGTGTCTTCATGACATCGCATTTGACGTCGTCGACAGCTGCAGAACTTGCAGCCATTCGTGCAGCTCTGGAGTTTATAGTAAAAGAACCTTCGGGAATTTGATCGATCTTCTCGGACTCGAAGGCATCTCTTCAATGTCTTATATCACCCTTTCGCCATGGACCTAATGAACAGTTAGTAGCTGAAATAAGGCTTCTTCATCACCAAGCAACCGAAAAACAGCACAGCATAGTGTATCAGTGGATACCAGGTTATTGCGGTATATATGGCAATGACCGCGCAGATGAGGCCGCTAGATCTGCACACGATGGTACCCAATACACAGCCATCCCGTTCTCAAGAACCGACGCAGCTACAAGACTTCGTTCGCTTGCACGTGACCTCACACTGGTACAGTGTAACTTGACAGACTTCACAAACGCGCGCCTGCATAACTTGGATCCCGATTTGCAGCGTCGAGATATCCCCAAAGATATCTCGAGCTGAAGAGACTCTTCTATGCCGCCTGTGGGTTGCAGTGGCCTTCACGAACGCATACTCTTATCTCATCGGGATGGCCAGCTCTCCTACATGAACTTACTGCAGTTGCGAAGAAACCATCGCGCACCTTTCTGTGTGAGTGCACCTATTTCGACGTGCAAAGACAAGAACTCACTGCAGCTCTGGATAGACTAGACAATCGGCCTTTGTCGGAACAAAGGATTCTGGGTCACTGGCCAAGCCCATCCTCAGCCCAGAAGGCTTTGAAAGTTTTGCTGCGCTTTTTGCGGAAAACTGGCCTCAGAGACAGACTTTAGTGTCTTATACTCTTTGATGTTGCATTTCCTCTGTCGCAATTTTTTTTGTAATTTCTCCCTCTCTTCGCAACATTTCTTTTTAACATCTATCATTCCCCTCACCCCTTTCCCCAGCACAGGGTAGCCAGCCGGTCTAAGAACTGGCTAACCTCCCTGTCTTTCCGCTTAAACTTTCTTCCTCCTCCAACTCAGCGTGAGGGACTCCGCGTCATCGAACTGTGCAGCCACTCCAAACAACACACGAGCTAAATATTACAGCGCAGCACGCGGCCAAAGATTCACATTAAATTATCAGTCAGATAAAGATTGCTTTCTCTTCTCTGGACAAACCATGGAATATGTCCAAAAATCACACGTAGCAAGCCCATCTATCAACCATTGGCTTATTCGAACATGGCGTGCTCGCTCGTTACAGAGATTGCCGTGGGAGGCTGCTACTTGTCCACGTATGCGCGCTTGATTACACTTCAAAAGCCACGATATATAAAAAAAGAAAAAGACGTTAAGCTCACGAGGCGCACGTGACGTATTTATGTGGCCCTGCTATTCCTCACTGCTTAGCTTCCAGCGATTCGTCGGGACGAGGGAAAAGAGAATGCAATTGCAGCATGCGGCAAACCTATGTGAGTTCACTCCCACTGGACGAATTATTAAAACTTTTGCGGCGTTGAGTTCGTGAGGAAATAAGGTCTTCCAGTGTATTCATTCCATGGTTACTTGAAAAGGTGTTTTTGTTTTTGGCTGCGGTGGCTGCATTTCCGATGGAGGCGGAAATGTTGTAGGCCCGTGTGCTCTGATTTGGGTGCACGTTAAAGAACCCCAGGTGGTCGAAATTTCTGGAGCCCTCCACTACGGCGTCTCTCATA